ATACTGATTGTCAGTTATTAAAGAAGGGCGAGTTTTAGCAGAAAGATCATAAGTTCTGCAGCTAGTAACACATTATTATTGCAGGTTTTAGATTTATAAACGAGTGAGGCGATTCAGATTTGATTAACTCCTATAGGCATGCTTTCTATGCGTTTGTCGACTTTAGAACACATTTATAGACATAGTAAAAATGCAGGAACCCTACATGCATGAAATATAGATGCTGGATTTTATATGAACATGATATTTAATCGCAGTTGGTTATTTAAGACCTATAAGCGTGTTTGCATAACGAAAAGTGGCTATGCAAGATTCAGAAAGTCCTATAGGCATATTTTCTATATATGCAGAGTTCAGATTCCGAATAATCGGAGACATGGCATCTATATGAAAGAATACATGATTCCTATAGACATGGTATCTATATGAAAGAATGCAGGATTCCTATAGACATGGCATCTATATGTGAGCATGCAAGATTCCTATAGACATGGCATATATATGTGAGCATGCAGGATTCTTATATATATATATATATATATATATATATATATATATGAGAAAGAATGCAGAAATTCCTATGGACATGATATCTATATATGATAGTGCAGAAATCCTATAGACATGATATCTACCCCTTTTGCATACATGGTTACCCCTCCCTTTTTCACTAGCCATCCCCGAAAGTTTTATTAAAAAATTATTACAGCCCCGAAAAGAAGTAAAATAAAGAAAAATACATCAGAAATTAAAAGTACAACCAAGGAGAGCCTGATTCAGACTTCCTGTCAGAAGTATGAAGTAAACCAACTCCAAGAGATCAGATTTCAAAGCCTTTCTCCCATTTGGGGTGTGTCAAAGTTCCCTAAGAGTCTCACATGAACTCCGGGCAATGCTTACACCCAAATATATCACCAGATTAAGACATAGTGCAGTGTGGAAGGGCCAGCCTTCAAGTTTCCAAGTTCAGAGGGAACTCAAGGTCTCAAGGCAAGGCTCACTGGAGGGGGGCAGAACTTATGGACTAAAAGAGAGTGCAAGTGCAGGATTCTGATAGGGGAAAGGGAGAGGGAAACAATTCACATTGATATAAATAGGGGTATAGGGAATGGGGGAAGTTGAAAAGGGGCAAAGACATGCTGGTGGGCATACTCAACAATAAGAAATGTTGGCATACCCATAAGCCTGTTAGAACACATTGTTTAGAAGTTAGGATCCTTTAAGGGATCAAGTTCAATCCATAGACAATAACTTACATATTGCCATGTTTTAAACTGTAACTAAAAACACATAAAGGGGTAGGGAGCAAGGATTCATAGCAGAAATAAGAAGAAAGAGATCAACATGCTAGTTTAAACATTATATCTGCAGAAGCAGTAAGGTAGACATAGATACAAAAGCTGTAAATATACATATTGTGATGATGCTGAAGCTTAAATTAGGACATACCAGTTTCAAAAAAACAAATAGAGAAAATGTAGTAGTCTTGTAAAAGCCACAGTGCAGACAAGAAGAGAGAGTACTATTATGTGTAAGTAAGAGTTCAGAAGGATTGTGAAGTGTGTAAGGTAGGATTTTCGATATGTCTTGTGTGTTAAAGAGTCGTGCATTTTATAGTGTGAAAGTCATGAGGAAATAAGATAAGAAAATAGTTAACGAACTGATTGTCAATCAATTACATAAGACTTCCCTTAATTAAGGGATTTAGATTCAAACGGCTAAAAAACCATTTAAGGAAATAAATTGAATAAACACTTTGTGCGCAGCATGCAATTAAGGGCAAATACATAAAAGGTTATTTAAGGACATGGTTTTGAAGTACACGGTTGTACAAATAAGGCAGAAAATCAATTAACAGCTAGTAAATCAAAGGGTCTGAGATTTGTATGAATGAACCGAGTCAAAAGATGGGAAATGTCTTTTTTAACTTAAAGGAAATCAACAAATAATGGAAAGAAATCAATCAGACCATATTCAGAGGGAAGTATGAACTAATCACAAATTTGAAAGCCACTTTAAAGGGAAGTTCATCATATAAAAGGAGTATACGAACATGTTAAGCATGAAAAAAAATTGTCATGTCATCAGTAGAAAATCCAGCGTAGGATAGTTTAGCAAAAGCCAGAATCATATGCAAACACGGATGTCCAAACTTAGTTCAGAGACTCGAAGTTGGTCTGAAAGAGTTAGGGGTTCTAAAATAAAACCCTAGTTCAAGCAAATCACAGCAAAGATGAGAGGGCAAGCCACTGAATCGAAAACATGTTTATGGGTTTCAGAAAAGAACTGAAACTTCTAACATGCTTCTTTCAGCAACAGAACTCATGAGAAAACATGATAGCAAAGTAATATGCAAACACAATAGAAGGGTTCAAAGCAAACAGAGTGAAGGAAACTAATTCGAAGCATAATGAGAAAAGACTGATAAGAACAGTAGAAAAATATGCTAAGAAGTTTTAGAAGAAACTTTAAACAGAGGTCAGTAGAAAGATCTTAATAAGGAAACTTAAGAACTTAGTAATGAAAAATACAGCAGGAGAAGCACAAGAACTCAGTAGAAAAGCATACGAGAACATAGTATAGGAAAACATAGCAGGGAAAACATACAGGAGCATGGTAGAAGAAAAGCACAAGAACACAATAGAAAAGCATACGAGAACATAATATAGGAAAACACAGTAAGAGAAGCATACAAGAACATGGTAAAAGAAAATACAAGAACACCATAGAGGCAAATACACACGGAAGAAAAAGAAAGTCAGAAAGCACTGGCTGAAAGATCGACACCTCATTTACGCTTGCATGGCTGAAAGATCGCCACTTTATTCATGTTTTGCATGGCTGAAATATCGCCACTTTGTTTACACATGCATAGCTGAAATATCGCCACTTTGTGTACATCTTGCATGGCTGAAATATCTCCGCTTTATTTACATGTTTCATAGCTGAAAGACCGCCACCTATTGCATTTCATGGGCTGAGGCAGGTGCATCTTGTTACCCGTCCGGTGCGGGTAGTTGATTCCCACTTAGAGGCTTCACGGTGAGCTACCTTCCGAGCCGATCTGTAGCAGCTGGAGTCTTCCTTATGTTTTACCTTTCTGTCTATTTTCTCTCAGATAGTAGGCTAGCAGTATTCTTTTGTATATTCTACTAGATTGCCCACATACTTGTGATACCGGGTCTTGGCTCACTCACTAGTTGACTTATGATTTTTTGGGTTTGCTTACATGATTCTGATTACTACTTATTGCTTCCGTTTATTTATGTTTTACTTGCAAATTTCTAAATCTTTTTAACAAATAAGGAAAAATATTACTACTTAATAATTTAATAAAATGGAAAATCACTAGTTGATCGGTGTTGGCTTGCCTAACAACGGTGTTAGGCGCCATCACGGCCTGTAATGAAAATTGGGTCGTGACATTGGTCATCAAAATTAGTTACTATCTTTTTTTTAATTTTGTATGCCAAAAGTCCTCAAATTTTATATTTCCTAAGTTTAACTAAAATTTGGTCATTGGAATCATACCTATGTTATGTTTTGATGATCTAACAAACTTAGTGATACGAACAAGATGGAGAACCTATTCCACATCCTCAAAGTACTCAAGATCAATAAGTCTCAAGTCTGGGACATGTTCCAACACCCAGAGTCAAATAAACAACAGAGGGAACAGATGGACATCAGTTCCCTTGCGGACTGTACCAGTCAACACCACAGCTGAAAAGTCACTGCAATTGTTCCTCTGCACACACGCAACAGTGCAAACAGTGCAGCGGTCACTTTATGGGGAATGCCCTTGTATCAAACATGCTTTCATCATTCAAGTGATATCACTTGTGTAATATTAACATGATGCAAAGGGAAAACAAGACACTTACACATTCTATAATTCATCAAGCCTTCTCTCAAGTGTGTTGCCAACTTGCAAGTGGCTTCAAGAACAAAGAACATCACAACGAAGGACCAGTTTCCTGCACTATGTTATTACATGTCCTTAGTTATGTTGTACCTTTATTAAAATAACTTACTTGTAATTCCTACTTAGCTTAGCTAGAAGTATTGTGTAGGAAATCTTTGTAAAACCATAAACCTGGTATTGTGTCTTGATTAGAGTTAGTCGAGTTGTGAGCTTTGTAATATAGTTATTACAAAGAGGGTTTGTAATATAGTCATTATAACGGGGCTTGCAATAGAGTTATTACAAGTGAGTGAGGGATTAAGAGTTTAATGCCTAGGTTACAATAGGTTGTAATCTGAGTTGCTCGGTTAGTGAAATTGAAATTCTACAAGTGTAGGTCGTGTTTTTTAATCCCGTGAGCTGGGAATTTTTCACGTAAAATTCTGCTGTGTCATTTTTTTACTACTGTGTGTGTTTTGTGGTAACTAATAGAGAACCAGGTTCTCTATATAGTTTGGTGGATCCTTAGTTTCTATCAATCTTCAAGGGCAACACCTTATCTTAAATTAGATTTTAAGTTATATGAATTAATAGTATAAAGTTTTTTATTTAGTCAGTGTAATTTAATCTGAGGCTTATTAAATACAGTTACTCAGCAATTATCTTTTAAATAAGCTTATTGTATAAATAGTTCTTATAGTGTTCTTTCCACTTTTCTCCGTACTTGATTGCCGTATTTTGTCGTTTAGATTTGTGGCTATGTAAAGTTTAAGTGTAGGGAAGAAGCGCGAAAGCTAGATTGTAGTTTTCAGGATTTAGTTTATAATTTTCATTTCTTTTGTTGTCATTGGCTTGTTGTTTATTCTAATTCTTAATTTTTTTTGTCTAACTTGTTGGTCTTGCATTGTACCGAATTTCTTTTGGGCTTCTGTTCTTTGTCACGCTCATATTTCTACTATATATAAATGGCCAAGTTGTACGAACACAGCTCTTTCAAGTTGTACATAAGGCACTCTGAGTTGTACTGTAAATTTGGGTATATTTCATTGGTGATTGTATTTACTTTTCTCTCTTTATTGTGACACGTGCAGTTACACTTTTGTTTGTGTGGAACAACGGGACTCCACCTTCTCCACTCTACTTTCTCCTTCCACAGTTCCATACCCATTTGATCATTTCTTTCTTCTTCAGTCTATTTCATTTCTATCCTCTTTCTCTATATTTTCAATTTCAATTCTTTCTCTTTTTCCTTGCATTCACGCTACTTGCTTTAAGTTTTCCTTTTGGTCATTTACAATTAGAGGTTTGAAATGGCGAATTCTGCTCATTCTTATTCTCTATGCACGTAGATTATGCTCCTGAGGATCAATTCATGTGTAAGGAGGCTTGGCTTATGTGACAAAGAATGTTCGAGTTCCGGAGGTAGAATATCAAGCAGATCAAACCAGTAGAAAGGGTTGATTTCAGATTCTCCAATTTTTAAGCCGCCCTTTAGGTACATTGCACATTCTTTTCACACCCTTTCAACTTTAGATCCCTTTATTGAAAACATAAATTCAGTGTTCTGCTCTTGTTTAATTTATTGAGCAGTTGGTCGTGGGTTAAAACTACAGCGTTAACAATGGGATACAAACTTTGAAAATAGTTCACCTCTATATTCAATTTTTTTAATTTTGCTTTTGTATCGATTTGGTTCCCACTGAGGTGTTAATTTAAGTGTTTGTATGGTATTCCATATATAAATGTGGGTGTCTTAACTTTTCTCTTTGGTGGCAATATAAACTGAACTAGGATGCCCCAATTTGTCGTAGGCGTAATATAAACTTATATGATACAAACTAATTGCTTTTGATTCTGCATTTATGGGCCACATGTGAATTTACCTATTGATTTTCCCATTATGGATTAACTTCGCTTGATTTTCTGATAGTGGTTTTCCCAAGCATTAAGTACACATTTGGCTTTAGGTTATTTTGGAAGTATATTTTTTGGGGCAACTAAAGTTTATGAATATGTACTGCCTTTGCAATAAAATAGAAATTTCATTGCATTTTAATTTAATTACTTGCATACATTATTAAACTCTGAAGTAATCTGCATTGGACTTGTTCAATATAATGTTGAATCAAGAAATCAGATGGTTGTCAACACAGGTACCTTCATTTCATGGTTGCATACAAAATGACCAACAACATCAAAGAAAATATAAAAGGTAAGTCCTCTTAACTTTCAAAGTATAATTTTCTCAGATGATGTGGGTGTAGTGTAATGCATGTTTTGTGGGGTATTCTCTCTTGCAGAGGTTGTTAATTTCTCTATCAGTATCCGATGTAGCCTCTCTGTTTCTAGAGTTATTTGTGCAATCATTCTTCTAAGTGTTGTTTTGAGGTGATAATTAGCAATATCGCTTTTAAAAACTATCAAACACAAATTGTTTCTTAGAAAATATTTTTCAACAAGCATTTTTGATAATTTTCTTCAGAAAAAATTCCAACAAAATATTCAAATACTATTAAGGTTTTCCATTCAATCGTTCGAGCGACACGAAATAAGAATGTTGTTTCAACCCTGCAGGAGCATTTTAGCAAACTTTATCACCTATAATATCTTCTTAGTTCATTTGGATGATAAAGGATTAATTCAAGATCAAAAGATTATTTGCATTATTAATCATAGATATGAAACTACTACCTTTATATATACGGGCAGTGTTGCGGATCAACACAATAAAACAATCCTGTTTTTCTCCATATGAGAGAGCATATTAGGAGATGAAGCTTTATTAGAATCAAATCAATCACCCGTGTTCACCATGCTTTAAGAATAACATTGTATTTATGTCTTCAAATATTTACAAAATAAAGAAAATCTTGAAAAGCTTCATGGCACATTAAACAAAAAGATGATGTTTCTTGTTTCCAAATACCAAATTTCAAACATTGAAAGGTGTAGAGTTAAGCCAATCTAAGATTCAAGCCTTTGTAATGGTTGCAATTTATGGTTAAATGTGTAAATTATTGAAATAATTTTATTTGTATAAACTAGATATTTTTACGTGTTGTTGACAAAGCTATGATGATTGTTTCCTTCTATTGGTAATTCATCTTTCTTCTTACCCTTCCCGTACATTTTGAAGTTGCTCCCATTATAAGACATGTGATTGTAATTATTTTTTTGTGTTCTCTTGCGAAAAAGTTTTTTTGGAGACAGAGCATGAAAAGTGACCATTCCATATATTAGCACCACAATTTTTAAGAATATCTGCCATTATTTTTACTTTTCCCTTCAATATGCAAGGTTATGTCTTGATTTCTTTACCTCAGAGAATTTTGTGACCTTTAGTATCATTCTGTCCAAACCATTTCTGGGAAGGCCAGGAAATGATTCAACTGTTACATTTATTTATTTCTTTTTTTTGTTAAAACTATGTTTCAAATCCAAGATGTTCAAGAATAGTGGTTAAGTTTCTGCACTCTTTAACATAAGATTAGTCAGTTCTATTTCTTGATGGGGGCAGAGAAACAACTTAAAGAAAGGAAATATATAGCTAAAAAGATCTATGCCATAAAAAAAGTTTGTTGGTTCTTTATGCAAGATCTTAAGGCTGATGCTTTATTTTTACTTGGTCTTTTATTATACTTGACGAAGATACTTAATTATACTTCTGTTACCATGCACTTCGGGCAATGATATAAACTCATCATGTATCACATTTGAGAATCTCAAGGTAAAGGATATTGTTTTATGGCATTAATCAAAAAAATCTTTCGGTTAACCTCTAAGATTGTCTTCTTTTTAGTTTAATAATCAGATATTTCTTGATCTTATTTTATCTTTTGACAGAAGATATGATACCTATGAAGCTGCGAAATCCCCCTTGATGGAGCTGGTAAGAAGGTGCTGCAGAGATGCTACCTGGCGATATTGAAAACTAAAGTGGCAGCATAACAATATTGCCGACTCCCTAATCTTCAAGAATGAAAGGTACTGACAATGACTTCAATGGATTCTCAAGATTATTATTAGCAAGAATTCCGAATTCCAAAAGCTTTTCATTTTTGTTTTCCCATTGAGGATGACAAAATTTGCTATCTATATTGATAAACATTTTTATATTCTTTCAAATATTATTGCATTTTGTTTGGTAGTAAAGCAGAGCACGTCCTATGTCCTTCCTGTTAATCTTTTTTCTTCTCCTACAAAATCAGTTGAAGATGTCGTTTGATCCACATGGAACGGTACTTAATCTTCATATTTTGTTGTATTTTCTCATTATGTTGATATGTTGGGTCTTATTAAGAACAAAAAATTTCACACTCTGTGAAGCATACCTATGGTTAAGCACTGAGGATTGAAGTTGCCTTGTTAACATTTTAGGTTGAGATTAGTTAGTTGGTGAACCTTGGTGTGAGCCCTTCTCTACGATTTCAGGAACATTAATGGTGATGTGTGGGCCTTGGGAATCAAATATGTACAAGGAGTTCAATGACCATCCAAACTTGCAGGTGTAGTTGGCATTTGTGTCAGCCTTGGTCTTTTTGGCCTGTGTCTGTTTCTTCCCATTCCATTGGTCAATCTTGTGGCATTTCTTCAAACTAAGATGAAGCGAGGATATTTAAACCTGAAACTTTTTAGTGGCTCCCCTTGGCATGCAGGTGATTCCAAAGATTGTGATATCAGTAGAATTTGAATGATAGGTTGTAAAAACAGAATGTTCCTAATAGATTCATTCAGCATCTTTTTCTTTGGGTTCTTTTTTGGTTGCAAGTTGTCACCAGTTGTGCTAGATTTGATTTCTTTTCTTTTGTTGATGGTTTGGTATTGCACTTCGATTGAAGATGCTTTTGGTTGATATCAACTTCTTTTGTATAAATGACCAGTTTATCCATTTTAGAAAAACAAGCTCAAAATTTTGAATATATTAGATTCCCTGTAATTTTGTGACCGATTTCCCGTGCGTAGCACGGGCATCACTTTCCAGTTTATTTGAAACGGGTAATTGTTAGCTTAAGTAGTAGTTTAGATTATGAATTTCAGAATTTGTTTTTTTCTTTTGAAGGGCAAAGATACTTATACTTATATTAATATTAATAATAATAAAATAGGCATTGTGCTAGGGTACATCACCCATAGAAATGCCATTAGTACATAATAGTGCCATGCCATTTAGGGCATTATTATTACCTAGAGAAGCTAGATTGTTGCATGCGTACATACTACATGAACGGAAACTATTATAACCATCCCTATCCTTACAATACACATCTAATGCAAAAGTAGGAGGTTTAGCAAAATAGATAGATATATTATAACTGGGGTACTGTAGAGCTTCCTTGGCCAACTTGTGTGCCACCATATTCCCTTCACGGAAGTTGTGCTTCATTATGATCTCCCCCTGCTCCATTGCCTTCCCCATTAAGCACCTGCATTCATAAATTAAATCATTGTAAGTAGGATAATCCTCTTCTAAAAAGCGAATCACCTCTGTGGCATCTGTCTCTATTTCACATGGTATGAACTTTTCCTTGATAATTGTTTGAAGTGCTTCACGAAAAGCTAGGAGTTGTGCATATATAGGAGATATAATGTGACACTTTGCGTAGTAACCCAGCATCCATTCTCCTCTGTTATTGCGTATGATTCCGCTGATGCCTCCATGTAAGTATTCGTCGTTGAAAGCTCCATCAAAATTGACCTTGTACCAATTCCTAGGAGGCGGTTGCCATTTAACCTTCACCTTAATGGAAATATTACTAGTAGTATGTTTAGTGATTAGTAAAATATATTCCAATGCTTGATCAAACACTTTAGTGGTGCTGATATTATTTGTAGCATTGTTAACATTGTTGTCATTCCTGGTTTTCCAGATTGACCATAACGCAAATGGAAAAACGTCCTCCCAAGTGGTGAATTTATTTGGTATCTTGGGTGTTTTCTTTCTGAGGAAATCAACCCAGTGCTCATGTGGCATGGGGGTGTTTAAAACTACCCCTATAGATTCCCAGAAATTTTTTGCCACCATGCATTCCCAAAATATATGAAGTAGGGATTCTTTCCTATCTTTGCATGTTGGGCAATTTGTGTCTATGTTGATACCAATTTTCCCTAGGTAGTCCCTTGTAGGAAGTCTTGAGTCGTAACACTTCCATAAGAAAAACATGATTTTCCTAGGACATTTCACTCCCCATATCCATGCAAAATCTTTACTTGTATGATAATATGTGTCAATCAATTTGTAGCAAGAGGAGGTCGTGAATATCCCACTAGGATTTGTACTCCATATAATCTTTCTAGAATGCGCGGTGGATGTGGTTAGTGAGTGAATACTATTCAGGACATTGTTGAGAATTTCGAATGAAATATGTGCTAGATCCCACATATTATTTCTTTAGATGTCTTTTATTTTCAAATCACTCTCCTTATTAATTAGCGGTCCTACTACATTTTTCCTTAATTTTCCAAATTTAGGAATCCAGTTGGTATCCCATATGGACATGTTGGTATGATTATTTACAGGCCATCTTATACCTTGTTGACAATAATTCCATCCCTTTAGGAGGCTTTTCCAAGTATGTGAAACTCCCTTGGTAGATTTAGTATGGCTATATAGACTAGTAATAATTCGTGCCCAAATAGAAGTAGGTTCGTTTAGAAGCCTCCAAACAAGGCTTGTCAGTAGGGACAAATTTTTTGATTTAGATTTTCTAATACCTAGCCCTCCCATATCTTTAGATAATGTAACCACATTCCACCCTATTAAGTTCAATCTCTTTTTTTCAGAAGTAGTTCCCCAAAGAAATTTTTTTTTTGAATCTTGTCTATCTCTTTAAGAGTCCTACTAGGGAGTATTGAGAGTTGCATTTGGTGATTTGGTAGTGTATTTAGAGTGGACTTTATGAGGGTACACCTTCCTGCCATATTGAGCCAATTAGCATTCCAAATGTTTAGTCTAGCCCTCATTTTTTTGAATTATAGGCAGGTAATCCTTGTGTTTTGGTTGTTTACTACTCATTGGGAATCCTAGGTATTTACCAAAATTCTTACTGACCTTTATATCTAACATTGAACTGATCCAATTGCTCATACCAATTGGGCATGCCTTTGAAAGCAACAGCTTTGATTTATCTCTATTGATTTGGTAGTGTATTTAGAGTGGACTTTATGAGGGTACACCTTCCTGCCATATTGAGCCAATTAGCATTCCAAATGTTTAGTCTAGCCCTCATTTTTTTGAATTATAGGCAGGTAATCCTTGTGTTTTGGTTGTTTACTACTCATTGGGAATCCTAGGTATTTACCAAAATTCTTACTGACCTTTATATCTAACATTGAAATGATCCAATTGCTCATACCAATTGGGCATGCCTTTGAAAGCAACAGCTTTGATTTATCTCTATTGATATTAAAGCCAGATAACTGACAAAAGAGATTCATATTATCTCTCATTGTAGTGATAGTTTTTTTATTTGCTCTACCCATTAAAGTTAGATCATCAGCAAAAAACAAATGGGACAATGGGGGGCTTTTTTTGTTCAAATAAATGGGATCCCAATTTAGGGTGTCTATTTGGTGTTCAATATTCTTGGATAACATATCCATGCATAATATGAATAGATATGGTGACATTGGGTCCCTTTGCCTAATACCCCTAGTAGGACAAAACTCATCTGTTTTATTACCATTAACTAGAATTGAGATAGAGCTAGTTGTTATGCAACTAAGAATTAGAGTCGTTATATTAGGAGGAAAATTGTGGAACCTGAGGGTTCTATATACAAAAGATCATTCAATTTGTCGAAGGCCTTTTCAAGGTCTAGTTTTAGAAGCCAATTTCCTTTTCCTGTCTGGTTATTAATATGTTTTAGGACTTCTTAGATAATGATTACATTATCAGTAGGTCGTCTATTTTTCACAAAGCTAGTTTGATGTTCACTAACTAGATTTTTTAGTAAAGGCTTAATACGGTTAGCAATTATCTTAGTAATTACTTTATACAATGTATTGCAAAGACTAATTGGTCTAAAGTTTTGTAATTGGTTTGCATTATTGGACTTAGGGATCAAACAAACATAGGTTTTATTAAGGTCTTGGGTATTGTCTTACTGTTAAAAATTCCTTGGCATAAATTAATGACCTTATTTCCTAGAATTGGCCAAATATTTTCGAAGAAAAAGGGGTGCAAACCATCAGGTCCGGGTGCCTTACATGGTTTAAAAGAAAAATAGCTCTTCTAATCTCATGATTTTTAAGAGGCATGTCAAGGCATGACAAATCTATTTTGCTAAAATTCTTGTTTGCCAGTGTGATATTTTTCCAATTTGTATGTTCATGTGAGGTAGTGAAAATATTTTTGAAATGAATTGACACATAGTGCATGAGAGCTTTTTGGTTTTCTATCCAGTTACCATTGTTATCTTTGAAGAAGACAATATTATTTTTTCTTCTCCGATTAGTGGCTTGTATATGAAAATATCTAGTATTAGCATCTCCTTTTAGCCAATTAACCCTAGAACGAAGTTTCTAGTAATCCTCTTCTAATTTGAGGACTGAGTCATAATCCTCTATTAATTTTACTTCTAGGTCTCTAAGAAATTGACTATACTGGTAATTAGGAGAGTTTTGAATACCTATTATACGCTTTAGTAAAATTATTTTTTTAGCAAAATTTTTACCAAAGGTTGCTTTTTTCCAATCCAAAACACTTTTTTGGAAATGCTCCGTTCCCTCTATAATATCCCTATTATCCCAGCTATCTCTAAGAATTCTTGGAAAATCAGGGTGGGAGCACCAGAAAGTTTACATCCAAAAAGGTCTAGCACTAGTTTTGTTAATAATATTGTTTATGTTGACTAATATATGATTATGGTGGGAGTGAATTTTAGGAAGGCGAGTAACCGTTATAGTGTTATATTCCTGTAACTAACCGAGGTACGCAGTTTACCTCACATTTGTGAAGAGCAGTTCAGCGGGAGTTGGGCACACGGGTTGAGTTGAGCACAACATTTCATCCTCAGACGGACGAGCAGTCCGAGAGCACTATTCAGATTTCGGAGGATATGCTCCGAGCTTGTGCCATTGACTTTGGAGGCTCATGTGATCAGTTTTTGCCTTTAGCAGAGTTTGCCTACAACAACAGCTACCAGTCGAGCATCCAGATGGCTCCTTATAAGGCTTTAGATGGTAGGCGGTGTCGGTCGCCGGTTGGATGGTTTGAGCCGGAGAGGCTCGGTTGTTGGGTATGGATCTAGTACAGGATGCCTTGGACAAGGTCAAGATCATTCAGGATAGGCTTCGTACAGCTCAGTCCAGGCAAAAGAGTTATGCCGACCATAAGGTTCGTGATGTGGCATTCATGTTGGTGAGCGAGTGTTGCTTCGGGTGTTGCCTATGAAGGACATGGTGAGATTTTGAAAGAAGGCAAGCTTAGCCCTAGGTTCATTGGCCTGTTTGACATTCTTGATCGAGTGGGAAAGGTGGCTTACAGACTTGCATTGCCACCGAGTTTATCAGCCGTGCACCCAGTGTTTCATGTGCCCATGCTTCGGAAGTATCACGGCGATCCATCCCACGTGTTAGACTTCAGCACCGTCTAGTTGGACAAATACTTCTCCTATGAGGAGGAGCCGGTAGCTATTCTAGACCGGCAGGTTCGTCATTTGAGATCGAAGAGTATTCCTTCTATTTGTTTTCAGTGGAGAGGTCAGCCTTGATGTTTTATACGTTAATACCACACAAGAGGGGGGGGGGTGATTTGTGTGGTACCCAATTTTTCGCTCTACTTCTAGGTGTGCTAACTCTATTGTTTGTGGAATAATAATAACATAAAGTAAGGAACACAAAGATTTTTACGTG